GTCCTTAGCTATCCCCTGGTGACAAACTGGGTGGATTCCTGTTGAGAAATTCAGCCAGGCGAACTTCCAGAGCTGTAGTTAAGTCGTCCAGCTGGCCAGTTTAGCTTTTCCCTTTTGGCCATGTAATGAACAAGCTGTTTTCTTTTTTCTGTTCATACTTCATCTTAAATTAGAGGCAACTACTACTACCAGCAGCTTCTGAGATATGGTAGACCTTCTGCTTCCCAGAGCAGGTGATTAAATTAAGTAACTTCTTCAGTTGTGATACATTTGCACTGCCTGTGCACACTTCAGCCAAGCAGCAAATGAAAATTTGATGTGGGATTTAAAGATAAAATTTGGATTTTCTTTAATTTTCAGAGTCGTCACTGACCACAGTGCCTGTGAATGAATGGCTGGAGGGAAATGTTGGTCTTCACCCTGCGACCACTCCTCTCTTTCTGATGAGGTCCAACAAGTGAGATGCTGCTGTGACAGTCAGTTGCTTGAGCCTACCTAATATTTTCTGTTTGCAGTTTCCCATGACCCTGGAGATTGTGATGGTAGGTGATTATGACTGTTGCCATAGGTATTTGTCTAAGCCCTCCCAGGCTTTTTCCTGGAGCAGCTGGTTCGTCTCCCTGTGTTTTTTCCCTTTGGAGGGGTGCTGTCTGCATCCTCTCCTTGTCAGGCAAAATGCTGGAGACTGAGCAGAGCCAGAGGCTTTCTGGGGATGCTTTGCACCATCATCACTTGCAGAATGACCTGCTCAATTCTCTCCAGTTCTCTGTCACAGCAGCCCATGGAGAAACATTTCTGTTTTCCTTTGCCCCAACTCATTCGAGGCTGTGGTCCTGCCAGCGTGCTGGCTGTGAATGACCCTTTTCTTGGAGCTTCCACTTTGGAAGAAGTCATGTTTCTTGCAGGAAAACGAGGGACATGCTGAGGTGCAGTGATGGGGTTGCTATTTTCTGTTGCAGTGTCCCCTTTCCCATGTGGTTCTGTGCTGGTTGCAGCAGGGCAGGGGTGACCAGGAGGCTGCCCTCATGTTGCCCAATTTTTCTCTTGGTTTGTGCTTAGCAATTTGAGAGTTGTTAAGGGAAAAAGATGATTTGGAGGAAGGAGGAGGTGGGACGAATGGAGGAAGTTCAGTGGGTGTAAAACTATATGGGGATTCCCAGACCTCCCCTACAGCTGCATGAATTGCAGCTGTATGTGTGGACACTGCTCCAAGCATATGAATTTTCTTCAGTGTAATCCCCTATGCCATTGAGCTGGATTAGAGCTCCATGAAGAGCTGGTCAGAACAGCAGCTCCTGGCAGCTCGATCCCTACCCCTTTACTGTGCTGATGTTATAAAATAAATAAATCCCCTCAAACACACATCCACTTCTTACCGGGAGGGCTGGGTGGGGGCATGATGCTGCTCGAGAGGAAGAGGAGGGGAGCAAGCAGCAGCGTCGGGCTGTTTTCAAACCCACCTGGCTGCAGGATGTGGGGAAAGTGTGAAATACAGCACTGCTGCCAGATGCCCCAGCACAGAGCTAGTGGCTGCTCTGTGGGACCAGCACTGGCGTGCGGCTGCTTTGTGTGGAGGACAGGGTGGGTAAAACGTGGCCGCGTGGTGAAGGGACTCTTCCATCCCATGGGGCCCTGTCAGCGAGCACCTTCACTGCTGGGGAAAGGGGTGTTTGCTGGCTTGGGTTTGATCAGTCAAAGCCTGAGTTGGGGATGAAGCAAGGGATGATGTACATTATTTTCTCTCCCAGCCCATCCTGGGCTGCAGGGAAGAAGTTGGTTTGACCTTTGGGACATCCCTTGTTTGGTGGCATCACTTAAAGGAAATCTCATCGGAAGGTCTTTTAGGAGCTTCCAGATCACCGAAGAACGGAGTATTACCACAGGTGAGGATGCTCAAGTTTTACAGCTTCAGGACTTCCCAGCCCTGGAGTGAATCTCTGCCAGCTCCTGTGTCTCTGAGCATCAGATGAGTGGGTTTAGTGTGAGCTGGGCTCGTGGCAGGGTCTTGGGCATGAGGAGTGGGTTTGTAATCACTGGCCGGTCTCAGCCCTTCGTGTGACCTTGAGCAACATCATGGGAATTTTACCCTGTTGCAGAGCTTCTGCCATCTGCTCTGGTTCGCTTGGATGAGGAGTGCTTCTCTCTTTTCCTTCTTGATTTTTATACTTCAAACTTCCTTGAAAATGGAGGAAATGAAACCACAGGGCTTTTTTGTGAGTGACATGGGAGAGCTCAGGCTCCTTCCAGAGAAGAAACGAAATTTAGGATGAAAAAGTCATAAAAAAATCCCTCCCTCATCACTTGTGCTGGCTGCAGAAGTTTGGGGGCCACTTGATCTGGCCAGGCTGGGATGTCCCTTGGTGGGATGCTTGGTGTGCCACAGTAACACTGTTCATCTCCCAACTGCTGCAGAAGGTCGCACCAACACTTGGGATGTGGATCACAGACATTGCAGGGCAGTACCTGCTGATCCCACCAGGCAGGGTCCTGTTGCAGGGCTGAATCCTTTCTCTGCAGTTTTGATTCCTTTCCCAGCTAGGTAAATCCAGGCAAACCATTTTCTCCCGCAGCAGATGGACTTGCTGGGGATTCGGGTGTGCATGAGGACCCTGGGAAGAGACACAGGGTGTGAAGGGAGATAGAGACCAGGGATGGATGGGGATGAGTAGAAATGGGGACTCCCAGTTCATACTGCTTTGGAAGTGTGGATTTTTGCTTGGGTCTGTCTTAGCAGATGTTGGAAAAGCCATTCATGCTGACTCGCACGGGGACTGGCACTTGAGAGGGCTCTGTATCTGGATGGGTCTGGGTGCTGGGTTTGCCAAAATCCTGAGCAGCCCCAGGACACCCAAAGGGTGGTGGGATCTGAGCACCCTGAATCTCACCTGGGCTGGGCACTGGTGTCCCAAAGTGGGGACTCAACATCTGAGGACATATTCACTCTCATATTGGGATGCAATGGGAAATAACAGCACCTCCTCGCTTCCCTGCCGGAAGGACAGCCCTTGGCTCCTGTTGAAGCCCCTGTGCTGGGTGTTGGGGGCAAGCAGAGGACTAGAGGGACACAGTGTGAATAGTTGCCATGTGGGGGAGTGCTGCCCAGCTGGTGGCTTTTCTCCAGTGCCAGGAGGGTCGGTGGCATGGCTCTGGGGGCAAGAAACCCGCACCTCCCCGGGCACCAACTCTGCTGCCTGAAACCTTTGCAGTATTTCACTGCTGTGACTGTGCAGAGGAGTGTGCAAGGATTGGCCCCAGTGCTGGCTTGTCCCAGGGAGAGCCAGGAGCTACATGGTCCTTAGCAGGGGCTGGTTTGCCCTCACATCTCCCTCCCTGCCTGCCCGGCCCCCATGGTTCCTCCTTGCTGGGGGGCTGTGTGTGAGTGCATGACCCGGGTTGTAAGTGCTGAGATCAGTAAGCGAAGTGCCTGGCTGCGCTCTCTGCCTCCATGTGACTGCAGTTTCCGTTGGCTCCTTCCGCAAAGGCTATATTAGCACTAAGTGAGAACGCGGGTGGGAGAGAACACCCAGGGGGTTGCACCTACCCTTGGCTCCAAGAGCACACCGGAGAGGCCACCGGCTGCAGGATGAATTGGGGCCAACCCTGCGCACTACACCATGCAGTGAGTAACTGCCCCCTGATACCTTTACCAGGGGAAAGCCCTGCCGGGGGGTTTTGGGGAGCCCCACCTGCCACCTTGAAGATCTGTGGTGGCCACACATCACTGATGCCCACACTCCCAAGAGCCGTGGCTGTGTGGGCCGGTGTCGGTGTGCACCCCAGGCTCTCACAGACCTCTTGCATGTGGGCTCCTCTGTAGGGCTGGGGTTTCCTGTTGGTGCTGCTGTCACTCTCCTAGCTGGGGGAGGCAGCATCGTGGCAGCCCCAGGGAGGAGTGTGGGAGAATGAAGGCTCTTCTGGTGCTGGGGGAGGCCAGCACTAGGTGGCAAAGAAAGGCCGAGCTGGGTGAAGGATTGTGTGAGCTTCTGTGGATAGGTTCAGGGGCTGAAGGCCAGCTGGGGCCAAAGTCCCCATAGTTCTGGATGCAGGGAGGACAAAGCAGGGTCTCCTGCCACCATGTCTGGTGCAAGGCACTGCTGGAGGGTGCAAGCTGCTGGGTGCCAGCACCAGCCTGGGGAAGGGGTCTTTCTCTCCATCCCCACCAGAATAATAAATGCTGTTTTGATAAGACACCAGCTTATTGCTTTAGGCTGTCCCAAGGAAAGAGACAACACAGGATATGTTCCCTGCACCCTCTGTGTTATGAGCCTTTGACCCGGGCTGCCAAAAATAACCCAGTTTCTTCTTCACTGGCAGTTATGAAGACACTGCTTGCTGAGTCCTCGCCGAGAACTTGCTGCTCATTTGCCTGAGGTTCATCTTTTCCCCAGATGCAAATGCTGTCAACTCTGGTTCCACCAAGTTAGTAACAGGGCACTTTGTGCTGGAGACCCTCTGCTTCCCCAGGAGAGGACCTCCAGCATGGGCAGATGCTGGAGGGGACTTGGTTGTGGCTGGGCTGGTGTCGCCTGGTGGAGCATTCAGCACCAGAGGCGGAAGACACAAATGCTGGCATGGGGGGAAGCCTCTGCTCGAGGGCTGCAGTTCAGTAGTGTTTCTGAGCAGCTGTGCAGTGAGATGGTGTCTTTCTCACATGGCTGGCAGCCCAATCCCCATCCCTTCTCTTCTCCTGCCCTCCTTGGTGGACCCACACAAAGGCTCCTGATGGGGTGGGTAAGGCTCAGGGCTGGGGCTCTTCCCCACTTCTCCATGGCCAGCTCATGGTTGCCACTAGGTTGACCTATTGGGAGCCCATTGCCTCCTGGTGCTGCTGGGGGCAATGCAGGAAGCTGTGTGCCTGCAGGCAGCAGCCATGGGCAGAAGACCAGCACAAGGATCACCGCTGCCATGATGGGCTCCCTGGAAAACCTGTGCATTTTGGGATGAGCAGTTTTTGACCTTTTCATCTCTGCCTCCATCTCTGCAGGAGTGCCACCGCTGAGATGGAGGCCCCGCTCCCTGGTCTTTTCCTGCTTCTGGTCCTCCTGGCAGTGGGATGGGGAAGCGGGGCAGTCACAGCCTGGGCAACATCTTCTGGCAGCTGCAAGCTTGTAAGTCCACCCTTGCAAATCCTCACCCGTCCAACTGTTTGGTCCTGCCCTGAAAATCCCAGGCACCTCAGCATCTTCAGTCCTTCCCCCCACCAGCTATTAGCTTAGCAAAGGACGGGACTGGGGTACCAAGGCTCTAACTATAGAGCCACCTCCTCCGTCCTCACTCTGCTCCCCAAACTTTTCCCTCCCCATCTCCCTCCACCTCCTGCCTCTGAAGGTAGCATTACAAATCCACTTGCTTTAGGTGCAGAGCACCATGGACTGCACTGGGAGATGGCTGAGCTCTGTCCCAGGAGATCTTCAAGGTGATACCGAGGAACTGTTGCTTGATGACAACACTATTCGGGTTCTGGGCAACGAGTCTCTGCTCTCATACCACCAGCTGCGGTGTCTCAGCTTGACCAAGAACCGGCTGGAGCTCATTGAGCCTGGTGCCTTCCTTAGCAGCCAAGGCCTCCATGTGCTCTCCTTGGCAGACAACCTCCTCTTCACCAACTACTCGCTGACAGCAGCTGCTTTTTCTGCTCTGCCAGCTTTGAGGATGCTGGATCTAGCTGGAAACCACCTCACTGAGGACATGGTATCAGTTTTGGTCTGGAACCTGCCTTCCTTGGAGTCCTTGTCAGTGGCCAGGAACATCATCATGAGGTTGGACTCATCCATCTTCACAAACCTGACACAGCTGTTGGAGCTGAACCTGGAGAAGAACTACATCTTTGAGATTGATGAAGCTTTCACAGGGCTGCAGCGGCTGCAGAGGCTCAACATAGCTTATAACTACCTCCCGTGTGTAGTAGAGTTTGGCCTGACCCAGCTCAGGGTGCTCAATGTCAGCAACAATGTCATTGAGTGGTTTCTGGCCCTGGAAAGCGATGACCTTTTTGAGCTGGAGGTGCTAGACCTGTCCCACAACCACCTCCTCTTCTTCCCTGTGTTGCCTCGGCAGAGCAAGCTGCACTCCTTGCTGTTGAAGGACAATGAGATGAGCTTCTACCAGCGCCTTCCCAACGGCACATCCCTGGCGGATGTCACAGTACAGTTCCTGCTCATTGATGGCAACTCCACCAACATCACAACGGTCAGCCTCTGGGATGAGATCTGCCACAGCAACCTCTCCTCCCTGCGCCTCCTGGACATGAGCCGGAACCAGCTCTGGTACCTGCCGGAGGGTTTCCTGGCCCAGATGCCTTCCCTGACCCACTTGAAGCTCAACCAGAACTGCCTGGAGATGTTTCACCTGTCAGAAAGGGACCCTTTATCCATGCTGGCAGAGCTGGACCTCAGCCAGAACAGGCTGGTGGAGCTGGGGGTGGAGGTGGGTGCCAGGGATGTCCTGCCCAACCTGCAGCTCTTCAACCTCAGCACCAACAGGCTGCAGGCACTTCCTCCTGGGGTTTTCACCTACACCAGAAAGATCACTACCGTGGACCTCAGCCACAACCAGGTTGACCTCTGTCCCCAGCCAGCTGTTGCAGGTGGGACAAAGAGTCCCCCCTGTGTGGACATCAGGGGTGTCAAGACCTTGACTCATCTCTCCTTGGCTGGCTGCGGCCTGAGGGGACTAGGTGGCCACCCGTTCCAGGGGACATTGCTGATGCATTTGGATCTCTCTGACAACCATCAGGTACTGTCTGGGGACCTGGGGTGGCTGCAGGACCTTGCTCTGACGCTGCAGGTGTTGTCTCTGAGGAACACCAGCCTCTCCTCCACCACTGTGGACTTCTCTGCCTTTAACAGCCTTGTGCACTTGGACCTTTCGGGGAATTCCTTGACTGCCTTCCCCAGCTCACTGGGTGCACTGAAACTGCGCAGCCTGAACCTGCGGAACAACTGCCTCCCGGCTCTGCCGATGGACGTGGTGCAGGCGCCGCTGGGGAAGAGCCTGCGCGAGGTCTACCTCAGCCAGAACCCCTACAACTGCTGCACGCTGGGCTGGTGGGACTCCCTGCAGCAGGTCGAGGGGTTGTGCATCCCTGACAGGCAGGAGGTGACCTGCAGCTACGCCTCCCGCATACTGAGCCCCAGGGCACTGCCCGAGCCCGTCCTGCAGAGCTGCCGCTGGCAGACGGCTGACCTGGCACTGCTCTACCTGGTGCTGCGCGGGGTGGCCCTCCCCATCCTCTTCCTCACACTTAAGCAAAAGCTGCTGAAAATGGTGAAAAGTCGGTGCGGAGTGTCCAGCCCTTACTGATGGCTGAGGAGTAGTAGGACGAAGGGCTCGGGAATGCTGAATGCAAGTGAGTTGTCAGGATTACAGGCTATAACCCCTCCGAGGTGGGTGAGAGGGAGACTTGAGGGATGGAGGATCCAGAGGGTGCTGGGAGAGCTGCTGTTCCTGCTACAGATGCCCTAAGGGTTCCCGAAGGGTGTGGGGCCATGTCTGGTGATGGAGCATGGTGATGAGGCCATGCTGAGCATTCTCCAAGTCTTCAGCACAAACCATCAACTGGTGTTGGTGAGAGTCATAGGATCAGAGAATCAAATGGTTTGGGTTGGGAGGAACCTCAAAGCTCATCCAGTTCCAACCCCCTGCCATGGGCAGGGACACATTACACTAGACCAGGTTGCTCCAAGCCCCATCCAACCTGGCCTTGGACACTGCCAGGGATGGGGCAGCTACAGCTTCTCTGGGCAAACTGTGCCAGTGTCTCACCACCCTCACAGGGAAGAACTTCTGCCTAAGAGATCTTATCTAAATCTCCCCTTTATCAGCTCAAAGCCATTCCCCCTTGTTCTGTCACTACAGGCCCTTGCAAAAAGCCCCTCTGCAGATTTCATTTTGGCCCCTTTAGGCACTGGAGCTGCTCTAAGGTCTCCCTGGAGCCTTCTCTTCTCCAGGCTGAACAAGCCCAGCTCTCTCAGCCTGTGAAGTCGAGCAGACATGACACCAAACACCACTTGGCCAAAGTGGCATGGACAGTTTCTCCCAGTGCTGTTCCCCACCCCACCCCTTCAGGCAGTTCCTTTTATTTATTCACCCCAGTTGCCAACTCTCTGCTGCAAAACCTCCTCCAGGTCTGCAAACAGCCTCTGTTGAATTGCTCTGGGCTGGAGCAAGCATCACCAGGGTGCTGCAGAGAAGGGTTTCTGTGGCCACAGCTCCAGCAAACACACAGGTAGCCCTGGGCATGCACCCCAGTGTGTGTGCTGATAAGACAGGTGTTGTCATTGGGGCTGAAAGACATGTTTTGGGGTGTGTTGCTTGGTTAAATCACAATCCCAGTTGGAAAAACCCATTAAAAATAGCCCAAGTGGCAACGATGTAAAATACTGATTGAAAAACAGGAGAATAAATTATATCACTGGTAATATTTTATTGCAGATTTCTTTTTCTCCAGTAACTGCTGGATTAAATAGATGCAAAGGAGATGAAACAAGAGAAAGCTTTTCTCCTTGTTGTGTATGCCCTGCTCTCTGCTCTCATGGGCTGTCAGCTCCAGTGGTGGTTGGGGTTTCTCCACCCAGCCCTGCTCACAGCAGTACCCACGCTCTTGTACCAGCAGCAGTACCTGGAGGAGTGCTGCTTTGTTCCTCACAGAGTTACTGTGGGTGGAAATGAGAAGTGATGGTGGTTTGTGATAACTGAAAAGCCCTGCTGAGACCTGCAGTGGCTTTATGCCCATGGCACCCTAGGGCTTTTTCCAGTTTCCACGAAATGCAGTAAAGCTATTAAGGTAGAAATTACAGAGTGATAATGGGTTTATTTCTTAAACTCATCAGGTTTCTTATCCTTCCTAGTCTCTCATTGCAACAATTATCTACTGTTTTGAGTCAGGATACACAGTGCATGAAGGATGGGGAAAAATTAAGAAATTCACTATCTGCACTTGAACTTAGGAAGTCTTTAAAGTACTGAAGTCCTTAAAGTATTGCCTCTGCACTCTGGTGCAATCAGTAAAAGGCTACACTTGTCTTAACAACTACAAAAAGGAGTCTCTGCAGCTTGACCTATATTGCAGTACTACAAAGAAGGATTGTACAGTAATGGCTCAGCTATG